ACCTATAGGATAATCGAAAACAAAATCGGTAGATAATTCAGTGTTAAAATAATTGCCTATCAATTTGCATAAAAGACATGAGCAGTTAACATTAGACTCCACAAGCAGTGTCATGGAATCGATAATTATATTTTTCCTCACTTTGATAATTCTTAAGACAACATAATCTCGCTACATTTTTAACTTTATATATAACTCTGGTTATCTAACAAAGAATCCCTTTCATTGATTTTTGCTATCCATTGATTTTTACGATTTTATTGTAAATTTTACATGGAGTATCTATACAAATATTGCTTGAAAATGACGTTAAAAGGGGGAGGGGTTTCCTTTTCCAACTCTCTATAAAGTTTTGCCCTTAAAAAAATGGTATAGACCTAGTAAATGTTTCAACTGGCTACGGAGAAATAATATGCATCCAGGATACTTGTTTTTAAATGCCAAAATAGATTGTGAAAGAAAAGGAATACACAGTTAATGTCGATTTGTAGTCAAGGTGTGAAAAACCAATCACGTCAAAAAATGACGTAGATCATGTGTTGTAGAATATTGAACTCCAAAATGCAAAATATGCTGCCACAATCAAGCGAGGATCTCTCCTATTGTATAAATCCATTTGCAATATTATATGCATCGAAAGCCGATTTTCATGACATTGTAAAGTCATATAAACAAGACGGATTGAAGTCCTTACTGAGCTCCAGGGAATCTCATCAAAATAAGTGTATGAGGTAGAAGAAGCAGACATTGAAAAACAATGACGTTGTCGGACGTCATAAAACTAAACGGCGACGGTGACGGCTGATGATATAATGCCGTTTTTATTTTATAACAATTTGGGAAATAATGAATGTATCAAGCTAAAAATTTCAACATTTCTTTTTGTTTTGTTTTATGTTCCTTAAAAAATTATAAGCTCAGACTACATAGTTCTAATTTTATAGCCTCAGTCCACCAACTTTTTGATAACCCCTCGTACATCTAAATACTAAGTATAAGGAAAAAATGCGTCAAACTTTGTGGTGTTTTTTTTTTAAATTTGGAGTTCAGTGGGATATATGAAATCAGCGCAGGAATGAAAATGAAACTTGTTAAAACGTTGCCGATACACGCATCTGTAGAATTAAAGCCATAGCAAAAGACTTTTGCTTATCATATAGAAATAAATACTGCTTCCCAGGCATGCAAAAAAAGCTGTCTGATAAGATGGAACACAAATAGGACCCATTTAAAATAAACTAGCTTGTTAGAAGTTGGAAATCCAAAAAAGATATTGTCTATTAGAAAATCAAATTTACTTTGAATATCTACATTAGAGTACTTGATTGTATAATCAGAATGTATTTTAACATAATAAGATTGCAGATGATCAATGAGAAGGTACCGGTATATAAATTGGTTAGTTCCATCTTTATTGAAGTAGTCTTCTGTGATGTTATAAGTCTATTGTGTTTTCAAATTTTCTGAAAGTTCGGTGGAGTGTTTAAGTATCCAAATTCCATTAATATCATCACCTTCATTAGAAAGGGAACTAAAGATATATTAAGTTGAATTATTAATCATTGAAATAAACTACCGGTAAGTTCTTCAAAATGTAATTTAAAAAATGAGCCTTATAAACAATGATATGTTATTACCTGCTGTGTCGATGGAGGACGGTGCATATTTATCGTGTAAACTATATTCTTTTTGCTCTTCTGAATTATCGAAGACAAAAGTTTTTTTTTAATTCCCCTTAACAGTTTAAATCGAAATTTCAACATTCATATTTGTCGCAGTTCGAAGACTGAGGTCAATTGTAAGAAATGGTGCAATCTATTATAACAGTACGTTGACCTGACTTCAATTTTGAATTCCCAAAATTTCATTTTTCATTTCACAGATTATTTATATTTTATATCTATTTTATTATTAGTCATTTTGCACTGTTTATATTCAGTTTGTTTTTTTTTGTTTGTTTTGTTATGGTCTTGTCGATAGTAAAATATGTTATTTTTTAGCATAGTCATAAGAAATTGATATAAAGATTATAAACATACATACTGATATATTACTTGTAAATGGAAAATTGAACAATTTTGAGGCCAAAGTAATGTCGAATGTCATACTGAATTAACAACAAATTATGCTCTTTACCCGATCATGACAAAAAACAACGTGGATTTGACAGGGGATGGTCACTCCTCAATGCACTTGATCTCACCTCTGGTGTTCTAAAGGCCTGTGTTTTCACTGTTTATATGTATTATATCAATGAACTTTTCATCATAAATATCTACCAGTGTCTTCAAATTTCGTGCTATCTTTTTTTCCTCACCCCTATCATGAATTATTACTAAATAGACTTAAAATAAGAATTAAGTAATATTTAGGTATAACATGTATAACATAAGTTTAAAACTCAGAGATAGAGGAAGACAGCACTCATCAAGAGAAGTTTTGAAATGTATGTTACACTCAAAATATATGACACCTTTTCCTTCATAAAAATTTAAGTGTTAAAATTTATCAAGTAGTCATTACAGATGCGAAAAAGACCAAGTGTCTCAACAAGGAAGCAGAAAGGAAGTTAACCTTCTCGACCTCAATACTGCACTTAAGGTTAGCAGCCCATCTCATTGGATAGTTTGTTAAGATGACACACGCTAAAAAGTTAGATAGAGGAATCCAATGTATGTATCCCGCAAGGGAGCAAGAGATATTGCTCTTTAATACTTAAGTTTTTAATGGAAGGGTGATACTTTAAAAGGAACAAAAGTTATGTAAATTGTTGTTAACTTAAAAGATAAATCACATTAAATACTTGTAAATGATCAGGAAATGATTTAAGTTCACATGTTTTAAATAAAATATAAGTTTTTTTGTACTTTATGCAACAAAAACGAAAACTGTCTTGAAGTATTATATGAAAGGCCAATTTATTTTCAAAACTATAACTATGTTTTAATAAGATCGAAAATCGAAGTTGAAAAATGTATTGCAATTTTTCACTCTATGAAATAGTGCTTAAAGTAGGAACAATATGCAACGTTAACCTTAAAAAACTTCCTGACATTTCATTTTGAATCAAACTTATATTATAAACTTGGCTATATGTTTTAATTGCAAAATACATTTGTATTGTGATTTTTGTCAAAATATACTTCTATATCGTATGCACAATTCAAGCTTAAACAAATATTCTTTTCTGTTTATGCATGCAAATTCATCACACCCTATCAATACTTTATGGAGTTCTCCTTTATTGAACTTTGTCATGGAAGATAACAAAGAACTTCACTCAAAAACTAGATACCTTCCAAACAAGATAGTCTGGCCGAACAAGATCAGCAGTGAGGAGCTGTATGAATAAACGCACACAGCTGCCATATCTGACCAGATTAAAGAGAAACGATGGAAATGAATTGGCCATGTCATAAGAATGGAATCATCAGATAAACCAAGGGTAGCCTTTAGATGGACTCAAGGAAAGAGAAACAGAGGACAACCAAAGGAGACGTGAAGACAATCAATAGAAAAAGAAGATGGACTTGGGGCATGGTACAGTCAATGTCAGCAGACAGAAGGAGATAAAGTTCCTAGGTGAAGGCCTTATGTGCTCAAAGCACGAAGAGGACTTAGTAGTAAGTAGGTATCAATACTTTATACAAATAACTTTTATTATTTCATTTTGCCTTCTTTGTTTGCACATGTAAAGGAGGGCCCCTACTCCTATGTACTTTGCGCACAACATTTATATTATACATTTTATTATTCGCCTTGTTGACGTTTATTTTATTTTCATGTTCGCCATTTTGACGTACATGACGTAGTGAGTCAGCCGAATTTGAGCACTGCTATATAGTAATTTGGTTATATATAGCACGTTTTAAACAATTGATATTTTGAAAGTTTTTTACATGTACATACAGGAATGAAAAAGTACTGTTACAACAATTTAAAATTTTTTGCAAAGAAATACATAATATAGTCTTCATAGGCAATATAATCTGGGGCTTCAAAAAGACAATAGACGAAATGTTTTTGTTATTAGCCCCCCTTCCATTTTTAGATTTGCTTATCGACACGCGCTTATGTATCATATATAATATTTTGAAATGATTTCTGCGATGCGCAACACTAATGTCTTCAATTTAGCGGTTTAAAATGTTTAAAATGAAAAATAAATAAATAAATAAAAAGTCGTTATAACTCTTGTCAAATTTTGTTTAATAACGAGAAATATTTATTAATAAAAAGTCGTTATTACTATATAAAAATGTAATAAGAAATAAAAATCGTTATTACGACTTAATAAAGTCGTTATTTAAGAAATAAGGTATCATTTTTTTAGTTTATTGAGTGTGCCATTAAAAAACTTTTTTCCTAATCAAAGATTAAAAAGGATATTAAAATTAATTTTTGCAATAAAAGTGCCAACCCGTTTATTTTTAAAATTTGTAAAAAAATGATACCTAATTACTTATATTTACATTTGTGACTTATTCATACTTTAAATTTGCCTGATTGTTACGTTTAACGTGCGAAATGTGTTATTTTTTCAAACCCAACAGCATGTATGTAATCCACTGAACGCACGTTGACCGTTTATGACGTCACAAAGAGGTTACGTCGAACGTTTATCCAAACGCACATCTATGACCTCTTGACCCCATACCTGTATTTATACAGTTATAAAAACGCTTGCTTTCGGTAGTGTTATATAAAGGAAAACATTTGCAAATGTAAATATAACGAGATAAAAAGTCGTTATTACGAGATAAAAAATCGTAAATACGACTTAAGAAAGTCGTAATAACAAGATAAAAAGTTTATAATTTGAAATACAGTTAAGAAGTCATGTTATTACGATGAATGTTAAAAAGTTTAATAACGAGATAAAAAGTCGTTATTACGACTTATCTAGAAAGTCGTTAAGATAGAAAAAGTCGTTATTACACAAAAAGTCATACATAAGTTCTATAAAAGTCGTTTTAACGACTTAATTTTTTTTCTTTATTTTCTAATTTGACCCTTGTAGGCTTTCGTACTTTTGTACCTTTCACTACTGAAAATGAAAGAAATTAATTTGAAATGCCAGATGTTTCTTGATACATCTCCATCTATGCAGTACATTTATACCTTAATTCAGTTTACGGTGACAGTGTGCCAGTAAAAAAACTTTTTTCCTAATCAAAGATTGAAAAGGATATTAAAATTAATTTTTGCAATAAAAGTCAATCGTTTATTTGTACGATTTGTAAATAACTGTACCATGAATTGTGCTCCGAATTAATGGTTCAATCTTGGACAAGGAAAGCTAATGTTGCAAAACATCTATCTTATCTAAAACAACTAACACAGAATTCCATTAAGTTGCACAATGGTCTTTTGTACCTGTCACCCAGTGGTATCGTAAATTTGATTTGTAATACCGATTTTGGTTTTGTTGTCCATAGTCATACTGTCTACATGAGTGGTCACATCCTGAAATTCAAGTGCAGGACGTACGTACACGAACAGTTTCTCCTATCCCCTTGTTTATCAAGATTCTTTAAAGAAAAATAAACAAATAGATAAATGTTAATTTTAGGTCTTTTACCCTTTTGTGTCACCCTCTTCTTAACCTGTCTAGAAAGGCAATTGTGATTTTTTTTCTCGGTAAACATAGTTTATTTAGCATTTGAAATACAGTTAATATTGTACATGACTTCGATAAGCTGATGAATGTTAAATATTTAATTATATTAATAAAAAAGTGAGCTAAATAAGTATTTTTTTTTTCAAATTGGTTGAATCAAGTGATATTTCTGGTCCATTCTTAACAATAAACAATTTGGTGTCCTTTCAACAAAAAATATTACGACTAAGACAAAAAATATCACATTCCTTAACAATTATCTAAGCTATAGTAGGACATTTAAAAAACCTTAAATTTCTGTTACACTAAGTTACTTAGAAAAAATATTCAGTAAAATATTTGTGAAAAAATATATGTAACAAAATATTACGGAGATGTCAAAATTTTATCTTAAACCTAAGATTTTTTTTGGTGAAAAGTGTCACTGTTTTACGAGTTTCAGTAAAAATCCTAACTATACGAAGTTGTATAAGTGTATTGAAACTAGACATTTATTTTCAGCCCTTTAATTTTTTATTGGATTATTCAGACTTATATTTTGTAAATATTGCTAGACTCCCATAAACCATTATATTCGACCCAATACCTCCGTACAAAAAAATAATAAATGATTTAGACACTTTAGAATGAACTTAAAATTGCTAATACGTGGATGTATTTGTCATTAATAAAGAAGGACAGGTTTCCCGTGAGCACGGAAGATGATTCTTAACACGACGATGTCCATACTTTAAGTAACTATGATAGATAGGTTCATATAAAACAATGCTGCAAATAGTCTGTGGTCACGTTTCTAATCTGTAAAACTATTAACGCTACCATTCATTTTATGAAGTTAAAAAACGGAGAAGGGGAATTCCCTTGACAAGTTACCTGTAGCTAAGTGAAAAAGTGTATATTTCAGGAGAGTTTTCATTTACTGGTGATTTTAATTTCTGTTTTTTGTTTTAATGTGACTGGAAACTTGAAAAGTGTGAAGTGGCTTCTTTAAAACCCATACGTTACTGAAGGAAAACATTTTAAATTTCAAAAGACTGTGTAAAAAGAACATTTTTTCCAAGTGAATGGCTGTTGATCCTTTTTTGGTATTTTTAAAAGTAATAATGTTTTACACAATATTTTTGATTATATTTTGCGAAGGGACACACAGCGGACATTCAGGTAAGTTAGTATATGTAAGAGAGAGAGAGAGAGAGAGAGAGAGAGAGAGAGAGAGAGAGAGAGATTATTCAGATAAATTTGAAATGAAATTTATTGATAAAAAAATAAATCAACACAAAATCAATTTATTCCATATTTTCGAACCAACTCTAATCAAGGCTTTCTTTCCAAAAATTTGCCAGTTCATTTTTAATTGTTTTTAAATACAAATGCATTAGCTATGCATTTAAAATGTTTTTAACTGAGAGTTTTTTTAGTTTCAGAAAAGCAATTTATTTTTGTCGATAAAAATAAAACATGGTATGAGGCAATGGAGTTCTGTGTAGAAGAAGGAGGACAGCTATCTTCCCTGGACGATGGAGACATTGGATCTTTGCTACAAGGCTGCCTTAAAAATGAATCTCAAGAAATTTGGACCAGTACCTCCAGTCATACAACTCCATATCTATCCCTTATTGGTAAATCGCTGCACTTAAAAAAAATAAGGATGTTAATTGGTCGTTAATAAGGAATTTTTTAACTGAAAAATTTTCGCTTGAAGCAGCATTTTGTGCGGGGGGACAGACAAACAAACAAACAAAGAGAAAAAGAAACCAAATGAAGAGAGAAATTGTAGGACTGTAAAGTGTATATATCAGTTAAAATTGCCGTATTTGATAGCTTTATAGAAATATACATCTGAAGTAAAAAGATGTATCAGGCCAGTTACTAAGTTTCTTTAGTTCGCTTTTCAAATCAAAAGTTTCAAAGTGAAAACAAGAAATAACTGAAGTAATCACATAATTTTTTTGAAACTAAAATTCATAAGAAATTGAAAATTACTTTATGATTGCAGTAAATTTAATTATTCATTAATTAATTAATTATTAATTATTGAGACCTACTCACTTTTTCAGGATGCTTTGAAGTATTGGATGAGATGGACTTCTTCGTATTAAACGACACATCATTGGTGGAGTGTCAGTATAACTGTAGAACTTCTCCTACATTTGCAATATGGGTATTTTCATTATATCGTAGAATCTACACTGATTTGAATTAATTACCGTATAGTATTTACTCGAAATTTGAATGACGATCTAATTGCTTTATGAATAAAATTAACCTGAAACTTCTTCCAGGGATATAAATTCAATATCGTGTATATTTTTTCTTTTTTGCGATTTTTCTTCATACACCTGAAATGGTGAGGATTATGTTTATGTTTTTTTCTTTCAGGAGAATAAATGCTCATGTCTTTCAAAGAATGCCAATTTAACACTGGCAGAAAATCAAGAGTCTTGCAATATTACGTGTGACGAACATATGTATTGTGGTGGGAAAAATAATGTAAATATATACAGTGTAGGTGAGCCATTTATAATTTAATATATTCTTATGATTTTAAGGTAATTCCACCCTCCTATGATGTCTTAAGTTTTGGCAAAAACTTCAATTAGTTTAAATTTATACCTAATAGAACAATATCTTTTGGAAGAATGCTTTACAATAGGTGAAATGATAAATATTGTTAAGTAAAAGAATTTCAAAAATGTTAATTTTCTTTATTTATTCAATTATTCAAATTAAAAAAATGTTTACAAGGGCTATAACTCCCTCTCATGTCTCTTCATTCAGGCATTGCTTTATTGTACTTCTGATGTAAAATAGTTTCCCTGATATTCACAATTTTAAAGTATCTTATACGTAGGAAGTATTAAGGAACGTTCAGAATCAGAATTATGCATTTTAACCAGTTTTTACATATTTTTCATAATACTCTTTACAAACAATGTGCGATTTTTAAATGTTGACATACACTTCTCTTTATTTATAATTCGCATCTTAAATAATATGGTGACCTATACATTTTGCAATAATTTGAAAATTTAAAGTATATTAAATGAAAATAAATGCGGTCTTTTTTACTTTGAACCATTAAAATTGTGAGGGTGGAAACACCTTAAGCACTTTCAAATGGTATTCATGTGAACACATATAATTATGAAAAATAATGCTTTATACATCTTAACACGGACATATACCAGGTCTTCTAAGCTTTCTTATCAGCCAACATACGGATGAAAAAACTCATAAACTTTTTATTTTGGGTTTGAGTTAAGTTACAATGTAGATTATGAATTGCAGCCCTGGAAGCATCTTTGAAATCCAATTCTAAAGTAAATCCAGATATCGCGTTGTGTGTAAGCTACCAGTGTATCAATAACAGCTACACATTCAGAGAAAGGAACTGTGATGACCCTATAATTAATGACGTAGCTTGCAGTGAGTACCTTTTTCGTGATATATGTATTTTATTCTAATAACTATTTTATTCAAAGAAAATAAAGCATCTATGCTCAGTATTATTACTAACTAGCAGACACTTATTTACTGATTTCATTATGAATTATCTTCGGCCTGAATTTGAGAGTTTTTTTAGTTGTCTTATCACTTTAAATTAGTTTGTCTTTTTTTTTTAAATACGTAAAAAATAATTTCTTACAGATGATTATTTTTCATGTACATTTGAGCCAGACGACTCATGCTTTTTAGTGCAATACAAAACAGACAACTTTAAATGGACCATGGATAAGGTAGTTTTATGTATGGAAACTGAAATTTGATTTAACTTTTACCTCATCAACTTGTCTTTAAAACTTAATAAAAATTATTTAGAATAATAACAAAATATTAAACGTTTGTTACGATGAAAACAGAAAAACAATGAAAATACACTAGAACAAGCTTACGAGGGATCATATTTTGCCTATGTGGATGACACTTCTTTCAATGTAGGAAATACATCAGTTCTTGGTTCAAATAGATTATTTCCAGGTATGTAAACTTTTTATCTCTTTGCATAAAAAATAACCCTTACTTCAGTACCTTTAAGTTCATGAAATATCTGATAGAATATAATGAAATAGTATAAATTCCAACAACGTTTTAAATTCAGCCGATATTAATTCCGTTATTACTATTAACCTAAAAAAAAAAAAAACAGATCGAACTTCATCGGCTGAGGGATATATTCACCAGTAGAAGAGTAACCTTTCTTAAAATTTGCAAGATTGATTTAAAAAAAAAACATTTGATGTAATATTGTCATTTAAACTATAAAATTGTTTTTAAAGTCAAATATGTTTTATTTGATAATGATTATACTTTTTTATACACTAAAATTGGTTTTAAGCTAAGAAGTGGTGCCTACGGTTTCGTTACTTCAGCTACAGCGCAGACTCCACTGCGGCCCTTAACGTGGTGACGTACAATAATGTTACAAAAGAAGTGAAGTATCATATCAATATCACCCGTTCTGATTTTGAGGAATGGAAATACGCAGAAGAAAACATAAAGATAGAGAATGATTTTTTAGTAAGTCTGCAATTGTTTTTTTTTCAAATAAAATATTGAAATCTTAGAATTAGATAAGATATCCAAGTGAGGTTTTATTGTTAAAAACGTGCAGTACAAAATGTGTAATGTCTTCCGGCCCTCGGGCTGATATGGGGCCACTCGGGCTGATATGACATATGATATGGATTTTAGTATGTAATATTCTCTATTTATCATATACTTAGTAGTAATTTTCTGAGCTAATAAGGGACCGCGTCTCAAAATACATGTATTTACTTTTATAATAATAAAATTAGGCCTACAGGGGGAAAAGCTTTTGAATACTTTTTATGTAAAATTATTATACATGTATATGATGAGTTATGCTATGTAAGATATTATATTTAGCAGACTTTTTAAAAAATTAAATTTCATGTGCACACATGTATATTTTATACCTTTTCTTTTTTAACATGATTTTTTCCATTGTGAAACACAATAATTAATATGGTTATATACATGTACCTATCAGGCCAAAGGTCCGTAAAAAGCTTTATTTTTTCTCAATAAAAACTCAGGCAAATGCCTTAAATCTAGTCTATTCTGTTGAATAATTAGAATAAGACCATACAAATGAGCAATTATGGTTATCTTTCTGTTTTGTTAACTATACATGTATGTGTAGACCTATTTGTTGTTTATCAATTGCTGCACATTAAAATTTACGCCATGTAGTGGCAGAAATATGTTTATCTTGGAATAGATTTTTTTAAAGATTGTTTGTTTTATTTAATTAGATAAAATACACTGCATATGAAATATGCACAGTGTCTCAGGAAATTTATGAAACACAAATTTAAAAAAAATAAATAAATAAATAGCATGTCCATGTATGAATTTACAAGTGTATGTTCAATGTTTTCTTAAAGACCCAATTTTTTTACCGTACGGTTACCTGAGGAGGGGGAGTGGTCCAAGTAACGGTGTTATTTACCTGGAGACCCCCAATACCCAAGATGTCAAAAATCTACATACACGTAGCATTACACAGGAAGTCTGTGTCTGGTATCAGGGTCAACATTCCGTGTTTCGTGTCTAAATTTGAGTGAAACTACTTGAAATAATTGAAATATTTCAATATAAAATTTATTTATAAATAATTTCAGCGATATCTTATGAAGAAAAAAATTATAAAGAAATATCGTTTTTATATTTTAAAAGATGACAAATTAAAGGAAAGAACACAGAGTAAACCTACAAAGTAAATATATCTTTTTTTAATTACCGGTAAACTTGTGTAAATATCAAAATTCAAAAAAAAAAATCATTCATAGGTAGGCCTATCTGTCGTGTGACAATGTACCGTACCGCGATAGGAATATTGCCTACGTTCTGATCAACAATAGTGTCGAAAATATTCACTATTTCCGGGTGTTCGTACGTGTGATTAAAATTTTTTATTGTTTGCGAGATATTTTTTTTTTAATACTTTTAAGAATTGATCTTTGGCTGTATATATTCATTTTTAATTTCGAATATTGGGTATTGACAGATGTTAGGAAATTCGAACTAAAAGTTACAATCTCGAAACTCGACAGCTGTTTCTGACATTTCAGAACTTTATTACGGAACATGGTATAGATTGTATTCATATATAAGTAGATAAAACATCAGATAAAGGAATTTTTTATCCGTGCCGTTTGTGCTAAATATCTTTTCCTATTTTTCATAATCCAATTTTAATCGGCAAATAGCGTTTCCGTGCACAGACTGGTCTAAATTCTACAGAGCAGATATCTTGGAGGACATATCGCCTAAAATACAATATAGTCGTTGAGATTAAAAGCAAATATTTTATGAAGTCATGTTTTATTTATCTACTCTCAATTGTTTTTAAAATAAAATTTTACCAAGATTCTTTTTTTAACCCCCGTGTATACAAGGCGGCTACATGAAAGTGTTTGACGCGTGACCAGGCAATCGTTTTCAAAGGACACAAACTCAGACTATCAGGTAGCACGGGTAGCTGGCCTGTCAATCAAATCAGAAGCTATTGTTTTTTTAATGATTGACAGGCGGTAAATTATTGATCTTGAATCAGGTAGATTTTGGGGGCGTTAACATAAAATTGGGTGTTTAACTGGGATTTGTATTTTAGATTAATACTAATGAATCCAAACAAGTGTGCTTTTCAAAAATTACAGATATTTCTAGTTCTTAACCCCCCGTTCACACAGAGCTGCGACTCTACGGCGATAATCCCGACCAAGCCACGATCTGAAAATTTTTTGGATCGGGGCAGATCGCAGCCGATCGGCGTCAAAATAGAGCAATTTGGCAAATTCTGTCTTCGTTACGACCGTACTACGATATCCCTACGTCAAACGCGCTGCTAACACGCTTCAACTACGATGTTACGCAGACAGTTGCTGACAAGCTACCGTGTTTACTGCGTTTACGCTACGTTGCCACTACGACATTGAAGACCATACTCCGACGCTACACAGACCTGAATGACTGTACCACGATGTCGCTACGGTGGTGCCGACTATATTACGATTGCATCACACGTCTAGTACGAATTTGGCGATGATGTAAATATATCTTGCAACCGTAGATTTTTTTGCGGCCTTTACCACATGGTTTACGGGCATTTTCAATTGTAACTGTAACAAGATGTGAAAAGTCTCAATTGCAAATGATCAAGTACAGTGTCACCCTTTACATGTAGTTTACAGATGACGATTGGTCAAATATCAGCGCTATAAGAACAAACTCCTGTCTGATAGGTCGTGATATGATCGGCGTAAGGTCATTATAGGTCTTCGTAGGATCTTCAGGAACGTAGAGAGATCGTAGTGAGAACGTAGTACGAACGTAGCGGGAGCGTTGTAGGAGCGTACTTGATAAGTACCTACGCTCTTACGGCGCTTTTACTACGATCACGAAGATCTCTCTACGATGCTTCCGCGCTGCTTGTACGATTACGGCGCTTCTACTACGCTCGTTTTACGACTTAACCCCGATTCTTGTTGGCCACGATCCCGCTACGCTTGTTTTGAACATGTTCAAAATAAGCGTCGTAAGAGCGTAGAGCTCTCCAATCATGAAGACCCTACTGCGATCATACTACGCTTATGACGACTTCACGACGTTTCTCCTGCGATTTGTCACGATCGGCCACGCTTTGATCGTAGTAGAAGCGGCGTCTATGTGTGAACGGGGAGTAACATATTATGTCAATTTCAGCTTGGTTTTCTAGCTAGAACAGGGAATCGAAGGTCAATTTTTGCTATAGATGATGTTACTCTGATTGCAGGCTCATGCGGTGAGAAAAAATATTTAAAATCAAAGTTAAATAAATAATTTTAATGGTTCATAAATTACCTCTAACTTTATCTAAGGTTCTAAGAAAATATTCTTACGCATTGATTTAATTGGTGTTTTGTCCACCAAAATATGACTGAAATATTGCCGACTTGGCGTTAAAGACTAACCAGACAATGTATGTTTTTGAATATGAAAGATATTCTCTTAATAGAGAAATCGACAACAAAACTGCTTCATATGAAAGGGGAAATGAAATGTAACTTTGAGGGAGGAGTGGATACATGCTTTGACCAAGACACATCTGATGACTTTGACTGGACCATTACAAGGGTAAGTACTGGTTTTTAAAGACATTGAACACAATTTTGGATAAGGAATCACTGTGTAGATAACAATCGATGGGTCGTATTTGGATTAAAAGAAATCATACAAGTTGATATTCCATTGTTTTGAATTTATTTTGACAATGATTTTTTACGATTACGCGATCATAGTCGAGGGTTCAAGGTGGATTACTACGGAATGCTTACTCCTCCTAGTCCTACAAATAAACTTCGATATCAAATTGCTATGGTTTTCAAATGTTTTTAATCTTATACTGAACAACTCGCTTATCTTTTCAAAATAGTTTACTGTATTTTACAGGAAGGTCAAACAAGTACATCTAACACAGGCCCTAGCAGTAATATTGAAGGAAACTATTTCAGTTATATTGAAGCTCATGGACCTGGAAGAAATGATGTAGCACGCTTGATATCAAAATTTGTTTTGGAAAGTATGATTTTAAGGATATTTTGTATTATGTATATTTTAATTTTATTTACTTTCCCTTGTAAGTGACCTAAAAAAATGAAAGTTTTTAAAAATATTTTCTTGATCAACAATAACTGTAATTCCATGTTTGCATTTTGTCAATTGAATTAAGGATTGTTATGTGAGTTTTGTACATGTTAAATTACAATGTAGTTTCCCAAATATTTTGTAGACGTCAACATAACACTCAGCATGTGGTATAATATGTATGGACGTGACGTCGAAACTCTGAAGGTTTTTCTCAGAAATGAAGCACAAGAGGAACTCATTATATTTCAAAGATCTGGAGATAAAGGGAAATCATGGATCTTTATAAATCTAACATTAATAATAGAAGGAAGGTGGCAGGTAAGAAAAAGAATATTTTAACTAGGAGACTTATTGTTCACAGAACAATAAGAGGTCTTTCCAGCTTTTTAAGTGTTTCCGTGTCATTTGGGTTGAAAAAAAGAAGAAAAACGCAAATTAAAAAAAAAAAAAAAAAAAAAATTAAAAAGTGCTGCCAGCAGGATTCGAACTGTGGACCCTCAGATTGCAAGGCGAACGCTCTATGCACTACGCCACAGGCTCCGATAAAGTTGATTTCCGTAAACTAACAGTGTAGAAAAAAAAAAAAGAAATGAAAACACGTGGATTTAAATAAAAATAGAAACGCGTGAAGTTTTAAATAGTACAGAAACACGTGTATTTATTTGTTTGTGATGGAACATAGGGAGGAATAATGAATAGTTCTAAGAAAAACGATTGGTGGATATTGAAAATGGAGATTTCCTGTAAAAAAAAAAAACATTCGAGTTTGTTTATAGTTTGAATAGATTGAGTTAATCATACAGAGCTTAAGATACATTCGAACTTCCGTGTCGGCACTGTGTTTACAATTTGTGAAAATATAGGCGCGTATGTTTTGACAGATATGGTGAACTCATAGGTTAGATTAAATAATCATCTCTATTTGGATTGAATTAATAGTTATGAGCATAAATTAAACTTGAAACATGCATTTCATGAAGAAAACGGTGTCAGCGAGAGCGTGGAAATTTATTTGATAGGAAAAATCCCTATTTTCGAGATTCATCCGATTAATATTAAACTGTTAAATCTAAATAAATTTCAAATAAATTCCACATTCTAAAGAGAGCAAGAATACTTGGTATTAAAATGTCGTATTAGAGCAGGAGAATCAAATGCTATTAACAAAAATTGAAGAAATAGCCAAGGCAAGCTTTAATTAATTTTTATGCTCATCAGCACTTAAATTTTAGACAAAAAAAAAATGTAGTTTTCGCCGATATTGAATAGAATTTCATCATACTTGAGAGACTCACCGTAAAACTCTCAGGACACTTTCTATGAAGTGTCTTCTACATTTTAATCTGAATTTCATGTCGATGTGTGATCTCCTTTAAGCTGTACAAAATTTGTTTACGTCACTATTGATTTTTTTTTTTTTTGAGAAAGAAGGGGGGGGGGTATAAGCATTTGTTTAAGAGAGAGTTGTAAATACCTCCAAGACCTTAAGCTTGATTGTGACCTTTGGGTCAATGGGGTCAAAGGTCAAGGTCATTCATCAAGGTCAAAGGTCAAGGTCATCAAAAAAGAAAAACCCACTTACAGACTTGAGTTTTACACTTGAAGCTGAATCTAGGTACAGGTTATGAATACATGTATACCTTTTTAACTTTTGAGAAAAGGTCAAGGTCTAAGGTCAAGGTCAAGTATCAAGGTCAAGTATCAAGGTCAAGGTCAAAGGTCAAGGTCATTTTATTAAAAACCCGTAAATAAGCAATTTTGATACTTCCCAATGACCTTGACCTTTGACCTTCACCTAATCTTCAAGGTCAAAGGTAAAAAGATCTGATGCAGTTGGACCCATGTCTTTACGACTTGTCATTAAGAAGTTTTTACTTCTTCGTAAACATCATAAACTTGCAGGGGCAATAACTACTTAAAACGGTTTACGAATTCTTTCGCACTAATAGAATGAGAAGTGTACTAAATTAGTCGCAGACATTGTTGAAGGTTTTGTACCTCTACGGTTTACGGTTTCGGAGGAGTAGCGATAACAAGGGTTTACACTGAAAGGGGCACTAACTTTTAGAGGGTTCAGTCTTAGGGGACAAGCATGGAATCTCTGAAATGGGTTTAAGAGTACATACTAAAAATACAAAGATGTTTAGAATTTGGTTAAGAACAAAAGAGCTATTAAAAATGCTTAATTTTACATATTTTGAATGACCTTGACCTTTGACCTTGACCTAGATTTTAAGGTCAAAGGTCAAGAAATCTTTTGCAGTTGGTCCCATGTCTCTACGCCTTGTCATTTAAGAAAAGATCTTGATATTCGTAAACGTTGCAAACATTCAGGGGCAATAATTCAATATAGGAGTTTACGAATCCTTTCACAATGTTTGATTGGAGAGTCTACTAAATCAGTCGTAAACATTAATAAAGGTTTGGAATCTCTGCGGTTTATGGTTTTGGAGGAGTAGCGATAACAAGCTTTTATTGCAAAAGGGGTCGTAACTCCGAAAGGGGTCAAAGCTCATATACGCAGGGTCAACTGCTAAAATCTTTTACGGAGTACATTCTTGTCGACTAAAAATCTTTTCGATAAATCTTGAAACTCAAAATCACACGGCGGAAAAATAATAAAAAAGAAAAAAAAAAACAGAAGAAAATCAATAGGTCTTTCCAGAGAAAGCTGGAAAGACCTAATAAACACTAGGAGACTTATTGTTCACAGAACAATAAGAGGTCTTTCCAGCTTTTTAAGTGTTTCCGTGTCATTTGGGTTGAAAAAAAGAAGAAAAACGCCAATTAAAAAAAAAAAAAAAAAAAATTAAAAAGTGCTGCCAGCAGGATTCGAACTGTGGACCCTCAGATTGCAAGGCGAACGCTCTATGCACTACGCCACAGGCTCCGATGAAGTTAATTTCCGTAAACTAACAGTGTAGAAAAAAAAAAGAAATGAAAACACGTGGATTTAAATAAAAATAGAAACGCGTGAAGTTTTAAATAGTACAGAAACACGTGTATTTATTTGTTTGTGATGGAACATAGGGAGGAATAATGAATAGTTCTAAGAAAAACGATTGGTGGATATTGAAAATGGAGATTTCCTGTAAAAAAAAAAAACATTCGAGTTTGTTTATAGTTTGAATAGATTGAGTTAATCATACAGAGCTTAAGATACATTCGAACTTCCGTGTCGGCACTGTGTTTACAATTTGTGAAAATATAGGCGCGTATGTTTTGACAGATATGGTGAACTCATAGGTTAGATTAAATAATCATCTCTATTTGGATTGAATTAATAGTTATGAGCATAAATTAAACTTGAAACATGCATTTCATGAAGAAAACGGTGTCAGCGAGAGCGTGGAAATTTATTTGATAGGAAAAATCCCTATTTTCGAGATTCATCCGATTAATATTAAATCTAAATAAATTTCAAATAAATTCCACATTCTAAAGAGAGCAAGAATACTTGGTATTAAAATGTTGTATTAGAGCAGGAGAATCAAATGCTGTTAACAAAAATTGAAGAAATAGCCAAGGCAAGCTTTAATTAATTTTTATGCTCATCAGCACTTAAATTTTAGACAAAAAAAAAATGTAGTTTTCGCCGATATTGAATAGAATTTCATCATACTTAAGAGACTCACCGTAAAACTCTCAGGACACTTTCTTTGAAGTGTCTTCTACATTTTAATCTGAATTTCATGTCGATGTGTGATCTCCTTTAAGCTGTACAAAATTTGTTTACGTCACTATTGATTTTTTTTTTTTTTTTTGAGAAAGAAGGGGGGGGGGGTATAAGCATTTGTTTAAGAGAGAGTTGTAAATACCTCCAAGACCTTAAGCTTGATTGTGACCTTTGGGTCAATGGGGTCAAAGGTCAAGGTCATTCATCAAGGTCAAAGGTCAAGGTCATCAAAAAAGAAAAACCCACTTACAGACTTGAGTTTTACACTTGAAGCTGAATCTAGGTACAGGTTATGAATACATGTATACCTTTTTAACTTTTGAGAAAAGGTCAAGGTCTAAGGTCAAGGTCAAGTATCAAGGTCAAGGGTCAAGGTCATTTTATTAAAAACCCGTAAATAAGCAATTTTGATACTTCCCAATGACCTTGACCTTTGACCTTGACCTAATCTTCAAGGTCAAAGGTAAAAAGATCTGATGCAGTTGGACCCATGTCTTTACGACTTGTCATTAAGAAGTTTTTACTTCTTCGTAAACATCATAAACTTGCAGGGGCAATAACTACTTAAAACGGTTTACGAATTCTTTCGCACTAATAGAATGAGAAGTGTACTAAATTAGTCGCAGACATTGTTGAAGGTTTTGTACCTCTACGGTTTACGGTTTCGGAGGAGTAGCGATAACAAGGGTTTACACTGAAAGGGGCACTAACTTTTAGAGGGTTCAGTCTTAGGGGACAAGCATGGAATCTCTGAAATGGGTTTAAGAGTACATACTAAAAATACAAAGATGTTTAGAATTTGGTTAAGAACAAAAGAGCTATTAAAAATGCTTAATTTTACATATTTTGAATGACCTTGACCTTTGACCTTGACCTAGATTTTAAGGTCAAAGGTCAAGAAATCTTTTGCAGTTGGTCCCATGTCTCTACGCCTTGTCATTTAAGAAAAGATCTTGATATTCGTAAACGTTGCAAACATTCAGGGGCAATAATTCAATATAGGAGTTTACGAATCCTTTCACAATGTTTGATTGGAGAGTCTACTAAATCAGTCGTAAACATTAATAAAGGTTTGGAATCTCTGCGGTTTATGGTTTTGGAGGAGTAGCGATAACAAGCTTTTATTGCAAAAGGGGTCGTAACTCCGAAAGGGGTCAAAGCTCATATACGCAGGGTCAACTGCTAAAATCTTTTACGGAGTACATTCTTGTCGACTAAAAATCTTTTCGATAAATCTTGAAACTCAAAATCACACGGCGGAAAAATAATAAAAAAGAAAAAAAAAAACAGAAGAAAATCAATAGGTCTTTCCAGAGAAAGCTGGAAAGACCTAATAAACACTAGGAGACTTATTGCTCACAGAACAATAAGAGGTCTTTCCAGCTTTTTAAGTGTTTCCGTGTCATTTGGGTTGAAAAAAAGAAGAAAAACGCCAATTAAAAAAAAAAAAAAAAAAAATTAAAAAGTGCTGCCAGCAGGATTCGAACTGTGGACCCTCAGATTGCAAGGCGAACGCTCTATGCACTACGCCACAGGCTCCGATGAAGTTGATTTCCGTAAACTAACAGTGTAGAAAAAAAAAAGAAATGAAAACACGTGGATTTAAATAAAAATAGAAACGCGTGAAGTTTTAAATAGTACA